AAAAATGAAATGGAACTTATAAAGATCAATATCTTAGGTATTAGTGAACTGAAATGAACCGGTATTGACAGATTTTAATCTGACACGCTAATGGTTTACTATGCCAGGGGTGACAAATTGAAGAAGAATGGTGTCTTGTTTATTGTCAAAAAAAGCATCTCATGATCAGTCTTGATGTACAGTGCTGTCTGTGATAGGATAATATCCGTATGCCTATAAGACCAGTCCATAGCACTGTTATTCAAACCCATACACTAACCACTGAAGCCAAAGATGATACACTTTAAGTCCTCTTTGATGACATGCCTGTCCAAGTCCTTTGCAAGTTTTATGACTGGGATTTGTTTTGTTGTTGTTAAGTTTTCCAAGTTTTTTGTATAACATTCTTTTGTCTATTACATTCTTATTGGATATGTAGCTTTCAAAGGTATTGTTTTAGGCAGTAGATTCCTTTTTCACTTTCCAGTAAAAAATTCTTTGGTGAACAAAAGTTTTCAATTATGTGAAAATTTATCTTGTCTTTATGAGTTCATTTTAAATTAAAAATTTGGAATGGAAACTTATTAGAAGGATTAAAAAGGGGTTCTTTCAGCTTCTAACAGTCCACATTGGTGGTGTGCTGTGGAGGCTGTTCTGACTCATAGTAGCCCTGTACAGGGTTCCTGAGGCTATATAAATAAGGAGCAGAAAGCCTCATCTTTCATCCTACGGAACCACTGATAGTTTCAAACTGCTGACTGTGAGATTAGCAGCCTGACTCATAACCACTATACTACCAGAACTCCTTAATTCCCAGCATGCCAAAATCTATATTCGTGCTTTTACCTTTTAAAATCACATAGCTCTTACATGAAATTTAGAATGATTTTTGACATATTGAAGATAACTTAGCTGAAATGGACTACCTTTGTCTATATTTTAAACCTTGGCTTTTAATTTTTCTTTTGATAGTAACATCAATTGCTGTGATTTTATTACAGTGTTTTGCTACGCTGTTGTTGTTTTTCTTTTTGAGAGATTCAAGGAAATGATACTCTTAACTCATTAAAGATCTGATAGTTGTGACGGCTGTTGTCATTAGGTGCTGACTCACAGTGACCCTATACACAACAGAATGTGGTACTGATCAAGCCCTCTGCCACCCTCACAGTTGTTATATTTGAGTCCATTGTTGCTGGCATTATGTCTGTCCATTCCATTGAAGACCTTACTCCTTTGAGCTGACACTCCACTTTACCAAGCATGATAACCTTTTCCAGGGATTGGTTTTTTTTGTGACAACGTGTCCAAAGTACAAGAAGCGAAATCTTAACCATCTTCGCTTGTGAGGAGCATTCTGGCTGTACTTCTTCCAAGATAGATTTGTTTGTTCTTCTGGAAATATATGGTATTTTAAATATTCTTCACCAACACCACAATTCAAATGCAACTTATTCTTCTATGGTCCTCCATATTCATGTGACAGCTTGTTTGTCATCCATTGTAGTTTAAGTCTACAAATACAAGGGTAAGTAAAAAAGCACAACACTAAGGTTCTAGTTCATGCATGTATATATTTATTCTAAAAAAAATGTGTTTAAACACGTCTCTTTGGTCAGTGGATGGCTGCAGACCAGTTCTCTCAGTAATAAATTTGTCTTAGTCTTGTTGAGGTGCCTTCCAAAAAGAAAGAATACTTTTTGTGCTATGGGAGAAAAACAATTTTGAAATCAGGGCTAATACCAAATTTTAAACAAATCTCAAGTGGACATTTTTCCAAATCATTAAAGTTTTGCAGCAAATTTACAGGAATGCGGCCCCACATAAAATAGCAGATTTAAGTTGGCTCAGGCTTTTTACTGGAGTGAGGGATACCTCAAAGATGAATTCCAGACAGAGATGTCTTCTCAAAAGGTTATAGCAACTGTGTTTTTGAGATTCCTCAGAGGTAATCTTGACAGATTTTCTCCAAAGACATAGGAATATCACAGGGGCTTATTATAGAGAAGTGTTAAGGAAAATACAAGCTACATTAATAAGAAAAAAATACAGTGAAGTTATATCAAAAGATGTTTTCCATCCTGACACTGTGTCTACTCGTTCTAGGGCTGCAGAGGCTCTCCTATGAGAACTTCATCAGGAAACCGTACCCCATCTACCCTATAGCCCTGATTTTGCCCCTTCAGACTTCTTTTTGTTTGCAAAACTCAAGGAACATTGAAATGAGACACAATCTGAATCTCTCGAGGATGCCAAAACTGATGTTTAAACATTGAATAAATTGAAGAGTGCAGAATTCTTCAGGAAAGGGTTACAGATTTAAATACCACCTTCAGAAGTGTATAGACCTAGATCCATGTAGGGATTATGTTGAGAAATGAGAGTGTCACATCTTAATTTTTTTGTTTCTATGATTCTTTTTAGCAATACTTTTTGACTTGTAGACCAATCACTTTTGTAGTTGGTGATAGTAACTGTCTTTACAGCAGCATCACCATTTTTTTCAGTATCAACGTGCTAAAATGAAATATTTTGTTTATTGTATGGTAAAGATGTGATTCCTTCTATTAATAGAATGATTTTTCTCATTATATATATATAATGAGAAAAAGAATTCTCTCTCTCTCTCTATATATATATATATAGTATGTCTGTTTCTATGTGTGGTAATGTTTCTTTGAAAATTCTTTTAATGAAGTTTTCTTGTCTGTTAGAGATATATACTAAGGTGAAGATGTATGATGCCTGGGATGTGTATTCAAGTAATATAAGCACAGTGATGGCAGGGATGTAAATGGAGGAAAGATGAAATAAGATTGGTCATGAGCTAATGATTGTTGGAACTAAGTGATGAGTAAATGGGAGTCCATTACTAATGTGTGTGTGTGTGTGTTTGGAATTGTTTTGACAATAAAAAGGCAGATTTTATGAATCCTGGTGTGGCGCTGTGGGTGCATGTGCTGGACTGCATAGCCGGTTTGAACAGCAAGGTTGGCAGTTCAAGCTCACCAGCCCACTCCTTGGAAAGCCCAAAACAGGATCACTAGGAGTTGAAACTAACTTGATAGCACTTTACCAACAACATCATTATTAGAACTAACTAACTAACTTGATGGCACTTGATAGCAATCACTATTTGAATGGTGGTAGTGGTTATGTGCCATGGAGTCGGTTCTGACTCATAGCGACCCTGTACAGGGTTTCTGAGACTGTAAATCTTTACGGGAGCAGAAAGCCTCATCTTTTTCACACGGATCAGCTGGTAGTTTAGAACTGCTAATCTTGAGGTTAGCAGCCTATCTTGTAACCACTATGCTACCAGCTCCTTATTATTAGAATAGAATATTTTACTTTAAACTTATAAACCTTCAATAAAAACAAAGTTACTGAAGATTTTCAAAAAGGACACATCTCTTCTACCAACTAAATTCCCTGTTCCAGTTAATTGTCCATACAGTCTCTCAGTTTCTCAATATAAAGATCAACGTCCAGTTGTTCATTACACTGGGTTACTTCTATTTAATGATTTAGTGCATCACTTCGATCCTCATTTCTATTTCAGGATTTTATAATCTAATTATAGAAAGTAATAAATACTTGTTGATTGAGTGACTGTAGGCCCCAAAGATTTCCCCCATCATAACACTTCTTGCACTGTCTTACAATCTTTTTACTTGTTTGTACCTCCTTGGTCTAGAACTAGGTTTTAAGTTTTATCATGACAGACCCTAGGTCTTTATGACCCAGCAACTAGCACAGTGTCTGACATAAATTTGGACATGCATTTATGGAATGACTTTATTAATTAATCTATCATCTTAAGTATTTCTCATGATTACTAGCTCCATTTCAATTAATTCATCCTCCACCTCCTTTCTGGATGAATTGTTCTGAACTCTATCTAAACTGTAAGTGCGATCGTAGTTCCTCCATAAATTGTAGTTCCTCATCAGGATATTGTTCAGACATTTATACCCTTCATCTTGTGCTTTCTACCAGCTACTTTCTTGTCTGCATCTCTTTACCCCATCATTGCACAGACTACTGAGATGGCCTGATTATTTTATGCCTACTATCTTTTGAACATTTCTTCTTCCTGATTACATTTTAAATATGGCGTCTCTGTGTTTGCCTTCCTTAACCTGGGGAGTCTGAGGGAGTCTCTGCCACTCTGCACTTCCACAGGCAATGCAGGTAAATGTGACAGTATTCCTGCACTGGACGCGCTTACTCCATCTGGACTGCTGACGACCATTTATCTGATCACTTTCCTCTTCGATGGCAGTGCACATCTCTAGAGCAGGGACTGAGTTTTTTTGTATTTTTTTAATGTTCTCATGTTATTTAGCAAATAGAAAGAACCCAATAAACATGTGCAAAGTTAGCATTAAAGAGTGGATATATTTGCTAAACCACTGAGTGGTTTTTGCATAAAGAAACTAAATCAAAGATATATTTATCAGTGTATCCAAAGGTTGTTGTTTACATTTACCTTAGGTTTTCCCATATATTCTTTTCCACAATGTAGTCACCAGGTCAAAAGACAAACGTCTGAGTTGTATAAATCTAATAATGAAATGATGAAGTTAAAACAAACTGGGGTTGTGAGGGTAGGGCTTTGAGCTTGAACCAAGTTGCTAAAGGAAACCTGAGAGTTTTGCTTTCAGACGTTCAGCTTTTATTTTATTTAGCCATAGAAATAATTCTGATGATAATTTTAATGAAGCCTTGGGTTAATATCAGTGAAGATTATTATTGACAGACATATCAAAGTTCCAACATAAACTAGTCTTTGATCTTTACATGTCTTGTAAAAGAGTCAACTTAAAAAAATATGAAGGGGCTTCAAAAAGCTGTGGAAAATTGAATTTAAAAGATAATGGAATGTTTCCATGAACTTGAAGCCTCTTCATACTACACTGTTGGAAAATAAGATCTCATATTATGTTAAAATGAACATTTATAGTTTAAGAAGATCATAAAGATTGTTTTGGGGTTTCCCTCTTTCTCTTCCCTTGCAGATATGTCTTCTCCAACTACTATGAAGAAACCTGAAAAGCCATTGTTCAGCTCGACATCTCCACAGGATTCTTCCCCAAGACTGAGCACTTTCCCCCAGCACCACCACCCCGGAATCCCTGGAGTTGCACACAGTGGTGAGGAGTTTCAAGCATAGAGGAGAAGTCTCTTTTGTTTGCAGGGCCCAAATCCTTAGGGAGTGGAGCAAATGATTATAATGATAGCTATTGTGATTGTTATTTTATGGTGACCATATTTTCTCAGCCAAAGGAGGGAGAGAGGAGGACCATCATGGAGAAAAACAACAACATTTTTTTGACTTCATGAGAAAACATTTTCAAATCCATATAATTTAGAAACATTTATATATGTATTTTCAGTGTTTTTTAATGGAAAGTTTATAATCAAAATGAATTAGGAAACATGAAGTGCATGGTTAACTATAGCTTCAGCATTAGTCCTAATACTAAATATTTTATTAAGGAAAAGATTGATTATCAAGTTATGTTACTGAGTTTCGATTATCTCTAAAGGAATTAGGATATACAGACATGACTTCCATAGATATTTTTTGGTATATACAAATCAGTATTTAAATAATTTTAGAGGAATTAAGTTAATTAAAAAATAAAAAAGGCATGTTTCTTTAACAGTTGATTGATATGCACATATATTTTCTGTGGGATAATACACTTGATATTGTATCTAATATCCTAATTGAAACCAGAAAAATAATCCAATATTTTGCATTTGCAATTTAAGCTACATTATGATAAGTGGAGAAATATTGAACTTGTCAAGGATTTCATTTCACTTGAATCCACAATTAATCCCCATAGAAGTCACAGTTAAAAATCCAACAATGTATTGCACTGGGCAAATCTGTTACAAAAGGCGTCTTTAAAGTGTTATAAACAAAGATATCACTTTGAGAACTGATGTGCACCTGACACAAGCCATGGTATTTTTATTCACTTCTTATGCATGTAAAACCTGGACAATGAATAAGAAAGACTGAAGAAGAAATGATGTATTTGAATTATGGTATTGGCAATATCGAATAGATGATAGGCTTCCAGAGAAATTATCAAATCTGTCTTAGAAGAAGTATAGTCAGAAAATTCTTTAGAAGCAAGGATGGTGAGACTTTTCTCATTTTATCAGGAAGGATTAGTCCCTGGAAGGCATCATGCTTATTAAAGTAGAGAGACAGCAAAAAAGAAGACCCTCAAGAGAATGGATTTAACACAGTGGCTGCAAAAGTAGACTGAAACATAAGAACTATTGTGAAATTGGCACAAGACCTGTCAGAATTTCATTCTTTTGTATATAGAGTTGGTAATAAGTTGGAACCAATTCAATGGCACCTAACAACAACATGCTAAAGCTACAACTAATGCTGTGGTCTCTCTCAAAAATTTAAATTGAGGTAAAATCAATGAACAATGTTATAGACTTTCCATTTATTACTCTTAGGCTCTACACAGAAGTACACTACATTTTAGATAAAGCTTATTCTATAGATGTTTATATAGAGTTGCTCTATTTGCTTTAAATTTATATTTGTTATTGTTGTTAAGTGCCATTGAATTGGTTCCAACTCATAGCAACCCTGTATAGGTTTCTAAGGAGTGACTGGGGAGTTTGAATGACCAACCTTGTGGTTCAAACTGACCTTGTGGTCCAGTGCTTTAATCCCACAGAACCATATCAGGAAAAGTCCTTATCCCTCACATAGATGAAATCTGTTGTTTACATCTTTATTCAAAGGGTATAACATCTCTTAAAGTTCATAGCTTTGGTTTACTGGTGTATGTTGACAGCTGTTGTCACTATACTTTAAAAATACATGACTTTTATTGTTATCATTAAGGAAATATAAAAGTAAGAGGAAAATTCACAGTTTAATGTGATATAACAGTTTTTTGTTTTTTGTACTATTGGAATGAACTGGTAGATGTTTCATACATTTTAAACTTTGAATATCTGACAAAAACTAGCATAGACTTCGAGTCACCCATTCATTATATAAAATACCAGATTAAAATACTAATACTTCTAAATCTATAAAAATTTAAACAATGCCATTTTATATAATGAAATGTGAGAGACCTAGGTAAGTCTTCCATCTTGGTTCTTCATCTGATATTTGTTCAATACTGCCTTACAATTGGTTCCCTATAGGAACAATCATGAGGAAATGGCTCACAGAATTGTGGAGGCTCGTAAGTCCCAAGTCCGTGGATCAGGTGTCAGACTGTAGATACCTCCAGACTCACATCATTGCAGAGACTGACAAACCCACAATCAGCAGTTCAGACGACAAGCTGTTGATTGGAAAATGTTAAATACCCAAGTCAGTAGATTGGATGACAGGCTACTGATTCATAGGCTGTAGAAGTGGTATACCCTAGAATTAGCAGGTCAGAAGACAGGCTGCTAGCTCAAGTACTAAGAAATGGAAGTCAGTTGATTATGAGCCAGATGCAGGATCAGTAGCAAGGAAGAGTCTCCCAGAACCTCTACATACATATTAGATGCAAGTTCTATCCCTTAGGAAACTCTCCTGACATCAGAGTTAAGAATGTGACTTGAGTAAGCACATGATTTGAGTAAGGATGTGACAAAAAGAAGGCTAGGACTTGAGTCACAGTCTCTTGTAAGGCTGTGACAAGATACCATCAACACTATTCCCACATCATTCACATATAGGAGTTAGGATTTACAACATAAAATTTGGATAATTGCATAACATCATCAAAAGGAAGATAATTACAGCAAATCACAAAATATACAGGACATTCACACAATAACTGAGAATCTTGACCTAGCCAAATTGACACATAACCATTGTAGGCCACCCTTTGTTAACCACACACTTGTACACATTTCTTTAAACCAGGTATAATCTCTAATTAAAGGCAATTATAAAATCAGTCTTGTACCTAACTAGCATGTGTACAATCAAAAGTGCACTTGTTAAGTGGTCTTGAGTTGGTGTACCAACTCATAGTGACCTTATCTATATAGGGTTTCTGAGGCTTTTAAAATCTTTGTGGGAGCAGAAAGACTCGTTTTTCTCCCATGGAGCAGCTGGTACGCTCATACCACTGCACTGGCCTTATTGTTCACAATCCAGTGCTTATCCTATGACGCCATGTGCTCCTAAAAACACATCGTTGTTGCTGTTGTTGTTAATGCTGTTGAGTCAGTTCTAATAGCAACCCTGTATAGGGTTTCTGAGGAGTAGCAGGTGGGTTTGAATCACCCATCTTCTGGTTCAAACCAATCTTACAGTCCAGTGCTTATCTTACAGCACCACACCAGGACTCCATTGTTGTTGTTAAGTGCCGTCAAATTGGTTCTGACCCATAGCAACCCTATATAAGGTTGTCAAGGAGCGGCTAGTGAGCTTGAACCGCCAAACTTGCAGTTCAAACCGACTTTGCAGTCTAGCACATTAACCCACAGTGCCACACCAGGATTCTAGGACTCCATTAGTCTTATTTATATCTTATGTTTTATAAGAAAACAAAAATATTTGTATATACATAAAACCATACATATAATAAAACAAGAAAATAAAGCTCACAACAATCACAGCCCTGGTTTCTGTAACTGGTCAGTCACATGGTCATAGCTCATAGCTGGTATTTAGAACTGGCTTCTTCCACTACCCATCCTGTATTGTCTTTATCCTCAGAAAGTACATGTGCTATTTGTGGTGCGTTGCTGATGGTATAACTCAAATTTTTGTTCCTGAAGAGTCTGGACCACTTGTAGTCATGTTGGGGTTGGGATCCTATACTCGCTATTGACTTTAATCACAGGACACATATTACTAAGATAACTCCTAGGGATTTCCTGTATTCCAGACATACTCTTTATCTCCATCATGTAATGTCATTCTAATTCACCTCCTTAGTAATAAGGGTCCGTCATACCAGCCAGTCTGGGAGCTCCCTTCTTGGCCTGTTGATCCAGAGGCATGAAGAATTTAAAGTGGCTGCCTGGCATTCTTAACTTCCAGATGAATAGAATCAGTGTTGTGTCTTCTGGTGGGAGTGTTCCTCCCTTTGGAACTAATAGCTCTAGACCAGCAAAGCATAGGGTTATAGGAAAAGGAAACAAAAATTCTGTGACTGGGTCACTAAGGGGAATAGTGATTGGTGTTAATTCCATTTCCAACCCTTGATTCCTGGACCCATGAATCGTGTGTATGGGAGATCAGTATCACATATTAGATGCTTGCTTAGAGTATGTATAACTTACTGGACAACATTGCCCAAACCCTGCAAAGTACTGTCACCTAACTGTAACGGTAGCTGCTGTAAATGTGCCATTAGAAGGCCATTCCACCATTCTGTTAAGCCAGCTGCTTCAGGATCATGGGGAACATGCTCAGACCAGTGAGTTTACAAAAGCATGGGCCCATTGCTACACGTCATTTGCTGTGGAATGAGACCCTTGATCCAAGGCAATGCTTTGTGAAAAACCATGCCACTGGAGAAGGCATTCTGTGAGTCCACAGTTGGTAGTTTTGGCAGAAGCATAGAGTGCAGGGAAGCCAAATCCATATCCAAAGTAAGAATGTATTCCAGTAAGAGCAAACTGCTGCCCTATCCATGATGAAAGTGGTCCAATATAAACAACCTGCCACCAGCTTGTTGACAAATAACCTTGAGGACTGATGCCATATCAGGGACTCAGTGTTGGTCTCTGCTTCTGGCACATTGGGCACCCAGCAGTAGCCATGTCAACCTTGGTGAGTGGAAGTCTTTGTTACTCAGTCCACACATTACCTTCATCCCTGCCACCATAGCCCTTTGTTCCTGATCTCATTGAGCAATAACAGGAGCAGCTGGGGAAATGGGATGATTGGTTTCCACAAAGGACTTCATCCTGTCCGCTTGGTTGTGAAATCCTCCTTTGCTGAGGTCCTCCTTTGGTGATCGTCTTACTTATCTAGTGTTTCTATAACAGAAATACCACAACTGGTGGATTTATCAAAGAGAAATGTCTTTTCTGGTAGGTTAGGAGGCTAAAGTCCTAATTTAGGGTCCCAGTTCTAGAGGAAGGATTCCTCCTTCTGGCTCCAGGGAAAGGTCCTTGTCTCCTTTCAGAATCTACAGACCCAGAGTTCCTTGGAGACCTCCATGTGTCTTGCCATCAGTCTTCCTCTAGGTCTAGGGGTTTCTCAATGCAGAGACCCCAGGCCCAAGGGGTCTTCCCAGGCATTCCACTCCTGGATCTTCTTTTTTTCCACAGCAGGGTTATGTTTATTAGAGGGAGGAGAAGAAGGTGTGAAGGCAAAGGGTAGCTCCCTCACCCTCACTCTCCTTAACATTGAACTAAGTCCCTAGGCCTTTGCCCCTCCAGGTAGGTGGGAACTGGATAAGCAGAAGCCAAAGGTCGAGCTGAAAGCCAAGGAGGTGGGAACCATGCGTTCTTCTCACAAGTGGTTCTGGGGCCTAATCCACTGCCTCTGACCTTCCCCTTCAGCAGACTCAGATGTCAATGGGCTCCCAGCCTTGGTTCTGCCTCTTCACCACAAACATTCTCTGCCCCAACATGATCACCAGCAGAGTGTGTTCTCCAAAGACCACAGAAAGGTGTTGGAAGGGCACCTTCATGCCGTGGTGCAGACGGAAACGACATGCGGTGCTGACCAGCTCATAGATGGTGCTGGCGGCCTGCTCATCATTTTGTAGATCCCCAGATGATGCCAGCACTGCACCTTCACTCATCACCACGTAGCCCAGTTGGTCTGGGACTTGCTCCAGCCCCCTGGGCCAATGCAGAAGTCATCACAAATTTTAGATGTTCAAGGCACTCCCTACTACAGGCAGCTTCTGACTTGAGGTCCTGGATATTCTTTCTCGGTGGTCCCTCTGCTGTCCTTTCCTCTCAGCCCACACTCAAGGGAAACTCCTCTCACATCATATGTGAACTTTGATGGGATTAAGGGTTTTATATCCCATCCTTAATCCTCTTACTGGTTTATCACATCAGATCACACCAAGGGGGATCATTACATAACTATCACATTGCATCATTACATAACTGCTAAACCACTGAGAATTATGGCCAAGACGAATTGATATATATTTGTGGGGCACACAGTTCAATCCATGACAGAAAGCATCCGCATGAAATACTAATAGCTTCACTTCTTTGGTCCATTCAGAAAGGTCTGTCTGTGTACTTTCTCCCTTACTTCCTTGTCACCAATTATCCAATCATGTTCCTTTCAAGTCCCTGACCATCCAGCCAAATCATTGGCCACAGCCCATGAATGAGTATACTAGTACACATTTGATCTTTCTTGTTTTAAGCAAAGTGAACTACCAGTTACATTGCTTGAAATTCTGCCCACTGGAAGGATTTCTTTTCACCACTATGCTTCAGGGAGGTCCTAGAAAGTGGCTGCAGTACTGTTGCTGTCTACTTTGTAATGGTGCCTGTGTATTGTGCAGAACCATATGTAAAGGTATGAGTTTTCGCTTCCTTAGTCAATGGATCAGAAAAGGCATAAGCCAGATCGTCAGCTCCATACCTAGTGCCAAGATGTATTAACTTGCTAAAGCAATGAAACCACATATAGCAGCAGAAGCTACAATTGGAGTTGCTGCCTGGTTAGGTTTAGGCTAATTTTCAATCTCCACGATCCATTTTTTTGTTTGTTTGTTTGTTTTTTTTCTACAGGCAAAATAGGTATGTTGAATGGGGATAGGATGGGAATTACCACCCCTGCATCATTCATGTCTTGATGATGCATAAACTCTTCAATCCATCCAGGAATATGATATTGCTTAACTGTTGGCTTATCATTCTCTTAGATAGCTCTGATGACTTCCACTTAGATTCTCTTACCATCGTAGCCCTTACTCCACATCAGGGATCCAGTGTGGGGGTCCTGCCAGTTACTGAACATTTCTATTCCAGTTTGCTTACTGGAAATGGGGAACTCATTGCAAGATGGGTTCAGGGCTCCATGAGACCTACTGTGAGACAGACCTGAGCTAAGACTCTATTAATAACCTAACCTTCATATACCTCACTCTGACTGTTAATACACAGTGACATTCTGTGTCTTCTGGAATTTGTGTCAATTCAGAGCCACTGTCCAGTAATTCCTGAAAAGTCCGATTATTTCCTTTTCCCCAATGAACAGTCACTCTCTTAAGAGGCTGTAAGTATTTTTAAGGAAGACTAGAAAAAAGATTAGCAATATGAATTTTGGGGAGTGCAGTTGGGTCCTCCCTCAAGGTGACTTGGTTTCCTTTCAAGGGTTTTTGGGAATTGATTGAGGGATTATGGCTTTTTATTCTGGCAATTCAATTTAGACTTATTTATTTGACCTAGATTTTTTCTGCTTGTACAGATCAAGTAAATAGTTGGTAGATTTTCCATCTATCTCACTGCTAGTGACACCAGGACTAAGTAATCCACGTCAATAGTCTGTATGAGTTATACTTTCCTGGTAACTGTTGGACTCTGCTTTCCATTGTGGTAACAATACCCCATTGTTTTTGTTGGTTAAGTACCATCACTTGGCCACTAGCACAACGAGGTCCAATCAGCCCCATTTTAATTAAGTGTCTTAATTCAGTCAAGGTAGTTCCCTCTGTCTAATGTGAGTAGTCTCAAAGATATTGGGATTCCATTCACTAATCTGTTCCTCATTATTGCCCTAAAAGGTGTGTCCTCTGGAAACTTCATGGGTGGGGCTGTGAGTCCAACCTGATCAATCCACTTTACATGTCAGTTTCCCTAAGTTGAATACCTTCTTCTACAGTATACCAACACAGGTCTGACACTTCAACTTGATTTAATGTAGGTTATCATTAAATCTGCTTTAACAACTTATTACATAAGGTAAATCTGCTGCAAGGAGCCTCTTTAAAGTGTTAAAGGGCATAGATATCAGTTTTAGGACTAAGGTGCACCTGACCCAAGCCTTTATAGTCTCAATTGCCTCACATGCATTGAAAGTTGTATAGTGAACTATAGAAGAATCAATGCATTTGAATTGTGATGTTGAAGAAGAATATTGGACTGGCAGAAGAACAAACCAGTCAGTCTTGGGAAAGCTTTAGACAGAGTGCTGCTTAGAAGGGAGGATGACAAGACTTCGTCTCTCATACATCAGATATGTTATCAAGAAGGACCAGTCTCTGGAGAAGGACATCATGCTTGGTAAATTGGAGGGTCAGTGAAAAACAGGAAGAGCCTCAATGAGATGGATTGACACAATGGCAGTGACAGTGTGCTCAAACATAAAAGCAAATGTGAGACCTGTGCAAGACCAGGATGCGTTTCGTTCCATTGTGCATAGTGTTGCTCTGAATCAGAACTGACTTGACAACACCTAACAACAACAACTGCCTAATCCTTGCTTCAGTGAAATAACCAAATACATTACTATCCTAGATCCTCCAGAACTGAAAAAGTGAATGAAGGATATCTGCTTAGTGGACTGTTATCAATAACTCAGATGGTTCCAATGTTATAGTCCTTGCACCATTATCCCACATCACTAACAGACATTCCCACACATGTGTCCTAAGTTTCTGCTTCTTTGTATTAGAAACTTCAAGCAGTTCTTTCAGAGTGTAGAATACCTTCTCCTGAGTCAATCTTTGTAAGTTTAGTTTTTGGTATAGAAGCAAAAATGGGTGTTGTAGCTGGAAACTGGGAACATTAAGCAATGACTTGTTGGCCATCACCTCGGGTACTGTCCCAGGCAGATGACACCTCAGGTGCCATCTCAGACAGAGACTCTTCAGGCACAGCTGTGTTAATGTCATCAACTGGAAATGAAAGGCATCATGGTTTTCTTAGGGAAGGTAATTTAGCAGACAAAGAATGAGTAATTTCTTCAGCCAGGAGGAGTAGTTCTGTTGGCAGGAGTGATTCAACAGAATTTGGCCCAATTCCCCATCTTTTTCCTGTTCTGCCTATCTGTCCCCATCCCAAGTCAGTTCAGGGATTTGTTTCTTCCCCATAAGTTATTCACTTTAACTTCAGATACCATTCAAGGTTGAGAATTCCATTGGCATCGTAACTCAGTCACACTTGTAATAAGATCCTGGGTTTGGTTTTTGGCAATGTTAGCTCCTTGCAATAATAAGGCTTTCTTTCAGGCCACTTATAGCAACTTTCAGGTCTTTTATGGGTCACTTTACTGTGACTCTGAATCCAAGCACGCCACTATTTTATTTTTTTTTAACCACTTTGTCCAGTGGAAGTAGGACCAACCAACTAATTTTTTATTCTTCTCATCCTGATAAAATTATAGAGAAGTATCTAGTATGCAATCACTAGTAGTGTGATTTCTCACAGATATTTTGTATGTGGGTAGCATTTTGCTTATTTCTACTGTCTTGTCATTTCATGGATCAGCAGTGCCCTCTTTACTATTTGAGACAGAGTCATCAGTGCCTGACAAGTCCCAAATCCACAGGTTAAGTTGGAGGCTTCTCCTGACTCACATCATTGTAGGGACTGACAAACACACAATTGACAGGTTAGAAAACAGGCTGTTGGCTCACAAGTCTGTGAGAGCTCTTAATTCCCCAACTTATCATGTCACATGGCAAGCTACTGGCTCACAGGACTGAAGAAGTTGATGGTGAATTTTAGAATTGGTGTATCAGATGATAGGCTGGTAGCTCAAGTCCACATGGAGAAGTTGGGATTTACGATGCATAAAATAGAGCTTAATTACACTGCATTATAAAATGGAGTTCTGGTATGACACTGTGTAGATAAGCACTGAGCTGCTAACTAAAAGGTCAGTGGTTCAAACCCACCAGTCGCTCCTCAGAAACTCTCTACAGGGTCACCATGAGTCAGAACCAACTTGATGATACTTAACAATAAAAATAGCGTCACAAAATGGAGAATAATTACATCCGATCACAAATGGAGGGTAAGTCCATGGTCCTGGGAATTCTGGCCTAGCCATGTTGACTCAGACCATTGGCTATTCCAAATACTTACTAGGAGGGAGAGTAAGTTGCAAAGTATTACTAAGGTTCCAATTCATACATTCACATATTTATTTGTTTATGTTTTTGATGTTTTTAAACATGTGTCTGCCATTAGTGGATGGCTGTAGATAAATTCGCTCAGTTTTCCACTTGTCTTAGTTTCGTTGTTGTTGTTAAGAAGTGTTTGTCAAGTTGGTTCAGGGTCATAGTGACCCTTTATAGGGTTTCCACGGAGTGGCTGGTTAATTTGAACCTCCGACCTTGCGGTTTGAACTGACTTTGTGCCCAGTTCATTATCCCCCAGCAGCACAGCAGGGCACCAGGACTCTGTAGTCTCATTATGAGGCCTTTAAAAAAAAAAAAAGATACTTTTTGTACCATGGGAAAATATGATTTTGATGTAAAGGCTAATATAAAATTTTTGACAAAATACAAGTGGACAGCTTCCCAAATCACTTAAGCTTTGCTTAAAGTTTATAGTAATGATATCCCACATAGCGCACATTTTTTGATTGCTAAAGCATTTTAAGATAGAGATGATCGTCATCCTCGACGACTGAAGAAACTGGTTTAAGTCCAGAAACTGATGGAAGAAGATCATAGAATTACCATTGATGTGATAGCTATGGAAGATGGATCTGGCTTGCTTCAGCATTTTCATTTTAAATGAAACATCTTGTCCACATCATGCTTTCAACTCATTGTGTGCCAGAAGCATTGCATGAAGCTCAGGTACCTCGTAGAGCTGATCTTTCTGTCAGTCTTTGAAGCAAGATGAAAATTAATGATGATGATTTTATGAAATGAATTATAAGTGGGGACGAGTCTTGAATTTACAAATACAGTCCAGAGAGCAAAGTTCAATCAAATCAGTGGCTTCTAAAGGGATCTGCTGGGCCAATGAAATTTGAGGTCAATTCAGAAGGTTATGGCAACTGTGTTTTGGGAGTCCCAAGGGGTAATCTTGATAGATTTTCTCTAAGGACACGGCATGATCATAGGGATGATCATAGGAGCTTATTAGGAAGAAGTTCATTTGTTTTTTAAATGGTGAGAAAAATGTCATGAAAGTTGTGCTGAAGGCTTTTTTTTTTTATTGTGACAATTACATGTTCATTCTTTGAGGGTAGCAAGAGTAAGTTACAAAGTACTCCAGAGGTTCCACTTTATACGCACACATATTTATTTGTTTGTGTTTTTGATGGTTTTAAACATGTCTCTGCCATTAGTGGATGGCTATAGATGAATTTTCTCAGTTTTCCACTTGTCTTAGTGTCGTTGTTGTTGTTAAGTGCCTGTCAAGTTGGCTCTGGGTCATAGTGACCCTTTATAGGGTTTCCAAGGAACGGCTGGAGAATTTGAACCTCCGATCTTGTGGTTCAGATTTAAAATGCTTTATCTTTTTTATCTTCGCTATGTGAAAATGCTTTCTCTATCTAAAAACGTGCTTTATGTGGGGCAGCATTACTACGGGCTGTCTTAAATTCTTATCCCTTATCCCGTCCACTCTACACCCGTGATCTTGCTCCTTCATATGTCATTTTGTTGTTCCCAAACTCACAAAACATTTAAAAGGAACATCATTCGAGTCCCTTCCTTGTATCTTCTAGTTTCTGGTAGCCCCAACATTTCTTGGCATTCCTTAGCTTTCAGCCTGTGCCTGCCATGTGGCCAACCGTTCCTCTCTGTGTAACTTTGTCTGTTCTCCCCTCTTAGGAGACATCACTCTGAAGGGAGTAGAACCTGCCCTGCTCCAGTATGCCCTCATGAACCTAATAGTTAATATCTGCAAAGAAAGTCTTGTTTCTCCAAACAAGATCATAGTCACAGGGTTAGAGGTTAGCATTTTAACATACTGTTGGGGAATACAATATAATCCATAAGTGATGCCACTTGGACTTTGTATTGAAATACGTCAATAACCTCATAAGCATGTGAAAGCTGGACAGTGAATAAGGAAGACCGTAGAAGAACTGATGCTTTTGAGTTATGGTGTTGGAGGAGAATATTGAAAGTGCCATGGGCTGCCAAAAGAATGAACAGATCCGTTTTGGAAGAAGTGCAGCCAGAGTGCTCCTTGGAGGCCAAGATGGCCAAACTTTGTCTCTCATACTCTGGACATATTGTCAGGAGGGACCACTCGCTGGAAAAGGATATCTTAAATAGAAACAGACTTTTAATAATCATTGGTTGATAGTCTCTTAATTTGTGCTTATATGATTATTTTCTTCAGTATTATAGAGACCAGTGACCTTGCAATTAACTGCTTTCTCTGTCTTTAAATCCTGAGGTATAACTAGAGAATGAAACAATACATTTTGTCCTAGTGTAACACTGTAGGATAAGTACTGGACTGCTAACCACAAAGTTGCAGCCAGCACTCCTTGGAAACCCGATACAGGGTCGCTATGAGTTGGAACCAACTTGACTGCACTTAACAACAACAATGATGAATTAAAGTTCAGTAAGGAGCTCTGGTAGCGTAGTGGTTACGAATCGGGCTGCGAACCTTAAGGTCAGCGGTTCGAAACTACCAACTGCTCCGCGGGAGAAAGATGAGGCTTTCTACTCCCGTAAAGATTTACACCCTCGGAAACCCTATACAGGGTCGCTATGGGTCGGAACCGACTCGACGGCACATAACAACAACAACAACAAGGTTAAACAGGAGCTCTGGTAGCATAGTGGTTACGAGTTAGTCTGCCAACCTCAAGGTCAGCCGTTCGAAACTACCAGCGGTTCCACAGGAGAAAGATGAGGTGTTCTGTTCCCGTAAAGATACACAGCCTCGGAAACCCTGTACAGGGTCGCTATGATTCGGAACTGACGCCACGGTTCTTACCACCACCACCAACAACAATAAGGTTAAACATGGAGAATGTGGTGGCTCCATAGGACAAGCATGGAAATGCAAACCACACGGTCAGCAGTTTGAGTTCACCAGCTGCTCTGCTGGAGAAAGAGGAGGCTTTCTCCTACCGCAAAGATTGAAAAAGCCTTGGAAACCTTATACAATTTGGTGGCACTCAACAACAGCAACATTATTAAACATAACTCATATTGCGTGTGATTTGTATTCTTTACAAAATATGTGATTTATGAGCAAGTTAACATATGAAAGTTTTATTTTGTATTTGCTTGGATTTTACTCATGGATTTACCTTAGCAACAGCTGTTAAGCTACATATAGAAGTTGGGGTAGGATAAAAGAGGCTTATAGGAGAGAACTATTTTGGTTTTGAAAGGAACACTTTCATTAGAAAACGGTGTTCTCAGGAGCCCTGTATTGAATATTCATAAACACTTAGTTCAATGATCTTGACTTTATTCCTTATCAATTATTAGATTTCCTGCTAACCAACCAACAGCTAGTATTTATAGAGAAAAGATGTATTTATAATACGAATATGTTTCCGTATTTCATTTTGGTAGAAAATTCAAGGATCCCCCACAGCAGAGTCATGCTGTGACATGGTCTGGGTTCTTTAGACAAAGATTTCATAATTAAAGAATGTGCTTTGCTGGAACATAACTGTGCTCAAAGAAGTGTTTTAACCAGTAATGGCATAACTCTGAGACATTTTGTGTAATCATTCACGGATCTAATAAGCAGGGTTGTTAATTCCCTCTAATGGGGTTACATCTACGTGTGCTTATCAGTACTGGCATTGACAATAAAGGTTAAAAAAAAACTTATTGTAGGAGAATTTGATTTAATTCATGAAAAACGTAGTGAATGACAATTGATGTTATCAGTGCTCAGCTGACAAATCGATCATCTCTTTTCTCTCTTTTGTAGTCATCTCAACTCGAACTCCACCTCCACCCTCACCGCTGCCATTTCCAACACAAGCTATTCTTCCTCCAGCCCCATCGAGTTACTTTTCTCATCCAACGATCAGATATCCTCCACACCTGAATCCTCAGGATACTCTGAAGAACTATGTACCTTCTTATGACCCATCCAGCCCACAAACCAGCCAGGTAAAAATTCGCGAGAAAATAAGATTAGAGCCTAAGGGATATGAAACAGGGCTAACTCTAAGGCATGAAGGTTACTCAGACGGTATGTCTGGCATGGCATCTAGCTTTTGAAATCCATCTTCAGGAAGTGTCTTGGTGACTCACTTAACTGAATGATAGGTAGGAAGTGTGTTGTCCCAAAGGAGCATATTTGTGACGATGTTTTTGGTCTGACATTTTTGAGTTTTTATTAACTAAAGACAAAGTCTATGCAGAAAGTACACTTTCAAAAGGGCTCTGAGCTGGAGTTCACACCTCTGAAATACCTGGTTTGACACAGAGACAAAGTGCTTATTTTAGGTCTGAGCAAGGTATGCGCTAAAATAAACACACGCAAAAGAACTTACAGTTGTATTTATAGTCCAACTATTAGGCATTAAAATCAGCTTTGCTAATGTAAACGTTTTCAGTGTTTGATGACTACTTGAATATTCTTTGCACAGACATGACTACACTTAATAATGAATGGCAGTACTAGAAGCTTCTCTCTCTCTCTCTCTTTTTTTCTGGTAAACGTTGTGCATTCGTTTTAGACATTCATTGCAAGTATAATGACTTCTGTGTAATTTTCACTCACCAGAGATGTGGTTCCTTCTACGGCGAGGTCATTTTATGGGGATTTGGTAATAAGAGCAGTCAGTCTTTGTGCCTGTGCTGAGTCTACCAATGACTGTAACAGCCAAGATCAATACTAGTGTAATTTTGATCTTATGCTCTGGTATTTAGCTTTGCTGCATGACCTCCAGCACAACATTTGTGAGGATGGTGACCAACTGGGCAGTGTTTCATTCTGTTGTGCATAGTCGCTGTGAGTCAGAGCAGACTCTGTGGCACCTAACAACAACAACAACAACAACAAAGCTTTACTTCTAAGATTGCTGTCCACTGCTTATCATACCTTTTAATGCGTTGGGGATGTTTACCAACATTCTGCTATTAATATGGTTTAGGTATTAAAATGGCAATAATTGGGATGTGCTTATTTGTTAAGAATTATAAACAAAATATGGAAAGAATCCCTTTAGAGTTAATATAATGGTTAAGATAGAACAATGTGATCTTCTCTGGATCGGAACATGTTATTGTGAGTAGCATTATATCCAGCAATCTTTGCGTTACTTAAAGAGTTACCTTTACTTTGGCCCCATTGACTAATATACTGAACTAAGTATAGCATTCCTGAGTTTTGAATTTGATGTTAAACTTGTTTTCGAAGAAAATGTTCAACTGGTGTAGTACTTACAATGATTCTGACAGTAATGACAACTAAGTAAAACATGGTATCTTAGAGGATCGGTTTAGAAATAAAATTTGCTGCGAGAGCTTGGATTCAAAGTCTTTGCTCCATGGAGCATTTTGCTAGACTCAGCTGGGAACCATGTATACAAGGTCTGATTTTAATTTGTGTAGAATTTCCATGAATAACAAAGTCTAATTAAGGCATCCATTAAAAGTCCTTAACGTTAATTCAGTGTGGAAAATCTTCGAGTTCCATTGGATTTTTTTTTTTTAACTGATGTCTTAATTAGGCACTGTTAGGGGAAAAATTATGCAAATTAAAATCAGGCCCTTAGTGTTATGCATTTCTTTAATTATTCAGTGCTTGTTTTAAGTACATTTCAATTTCTTTATAAGTTAAGAGGGCATATTAGGTGATAATCTGCCTATATTGTTCTCAGGTTTTTTTTTTTTCACAGTGTCAAGGTAAAGATCCAACTTCTAAGAGGTACATCTTACTCTCATCTCACATCTTTGTTTTTTGTTTTTTTTTTTTTTAATCCTTTCTCAGGATTTGTATAATAGGAGCAGTGAACTGAGTAGGATAATCCTATCAAATACTATGTCCACTTCATCTTCAGGTAGAACTCTCTCTTTTCATACCTAGTATGAAAGCTCATCTGTTAACACCCTTATCAGACAGAAGTGTTTTAGTGTAATTTCACTTGTAGAATGGAATCGAAACCCAAGAAATAACTTCCATTTTTCTAATCCTGAATTTCAAAACAATGTATCTTCATTGGCTTGGGAATATTTTGTTTGTCACTCTGCTATAGTTAATGAAAGAAATGTGTTGTCAGTGTATGTGGATTGTGGCTCCATTCCAGTGGACAAAACCTTCCAGAAGGGGCAGGGCAGTATCCAATTCTGTGGCAGCATTTTCTAGAAATAACAGTCTTTCTGCTTTTATTCTACTCTCTTCAGGTAGGTGCTCTCAAAAAAGAGAATAAAAGAAATCCTGGTAAACACTGAATCCAGAAACATTTTTGCCACTGAGTGAGTGCACCGCCAATGATAAACTGAGATCTTTCTTCTTTCTTGAGGAGAATATGGAAAGCAGTCATTTGTAAAGTTCAGCTAACCCAAAGTTGAAGGTAGCTTTAGCAACAAGCTACATTTTCCCTTTGAAAGGAAAAATGGGATCTTTATACTAAGCTTCACATTTGTTTTTGTAGGAATGTTATATCTGCTTTGATTTTTTAACTCCAGCCCAAAATCAATTTATTTGTGTTTCAAAATAGAACTGTTGGTATTCACCTTTTTTTGCTCTAGATGTTGAAGAAAATGAGTACCCGTGCTCTTCCAACAAATGGTTCCTTCCCAATGTACAACAGCACTGCACTGGTTTTGATTGTTAAGTCAAGCAATTGAGATACCTTTTCCTCCCCACAGCAATTTGAAGATTCGTTGTATTATTGCTGCTCAGTTGTAGTGAGACAGTCATGCTGTTCAATTGAATATTTTTAGTAAACTTAGTTTAAGATATAACCCGCCCATAGGTTTCCACAGAGGAAAAACTATGTTCCATTTTCCTGACATAATGTTTAAATACCTAAAATTACACACAATGAATAGTCAGGATATTCAAGAAGTTCCTTTTATTTCTGGAATAAATAATAACAACCTCTGAAGAACTTATCCAGAGACATAACTCGTGTCTCTAAGTCACAAGATTTAAGTCTTGTTTGCTATGCATCTTTTCTCTACAAAACTGTCTACTTGTAGTTTACGTAAAGGTATTTAGATAAATGTTCTGCTCCGTTGCCCTCCTGCCATTGAATAGTTTAGATGATAAAGACTAAATCTGTGTAGAGAAGAGCATCCCAGCAAATTGGAATGCACATGATACGATGGAGAATCCCAACATGAGTGTAATAAAAAACAGCATTGTCTGTGTAGAAAAATATATTCCATGATTTTTTCTCCCACCATGTAAACACTCTTTGTACCAAGGAACTAAATATAGATCATTTCTGTCATTGTCCAGGGGATTTTCTGAGTGAATTCCCACAAATGACAAAAATGGATATTATATGTAACTCTTCATGTACATCGGTGGAAGAGTAAATGAAATAATAATATATATGTGTTGGTTCTCTATTTCACTTCAGTACATTTTAATTTACTTTCAAAATCTTTTACTTGTAGGTCTAAGTTCAGTCCTAGTTCACTTTTTTATATCATTGTGTGGAGCGGATATTTTAGAGGCTTTCGATCTCTTTCTGTCTGCTGGTATGAGTAAATCGCCAGAGGTCTGATTGAGATTCTAGAGTCTAAATTGTGTTTGTGAGTGTGTGTGAGAGACAGTCTTTGAAGGCAGAAGAATGGGCCTGGAGGTTTAACGCTAGTGTTTGTTGTGTTTAATTTCCCAGATCTTCGTGTGTTCCCTTTTATCAGTGATACCATCATTTAGGTGAGAACCGTTCCTGAAGCCAAGGCTGAGTCATTGTGGAGAATGAAGAACAGAGAATAAGGAAGCGCTGTGTTCTAACTCCAGCTAGCTCAGCAAGGCTTCCATTTTATCCTTGGACTAAGCATTTAGATCTTCACTTGAGTTTCCTAGCCTACTAAATAAAAGGACCAAGTGAACCTGAATTTCACAGGTGTTGTAAAGACAAATGAACCTATAGAAAGTGCTTTGAAGATGTAAAACCTCTCTTAAATGCTGCTGATTCTTATTGCTACTAACCACTGACTGGCCACTCTGGCTCAGACTTCAGAGCAGCCCAGACCGTGTGGCAATGTTGCACACTCAGCAGGTCTACGTGGCAGAGTGTAGAGTGGAGTTTTTGGATGAGATGACTACCTTTTGGATTGTTTCACCCGGCATTCTGTTTTTGTTTTGTAGCCTAACAGCAGTGGTCAAGTAGTAGGGAAAATGCCTGGCCATTTCACTCCTGTCTTGGCACCCTCTCCCCATCCCAGTGCAGTGCGGCCTGTGACCCTGACCATGACAGATACTAAACCCATCACTACATCCACTGAAGGTGAGGCAGCTTCACCTACAAAAACCAGTAAGTATTTCTGTAGGAAATGAGAAATGTCCATCGAAGGCACCATTGGATATCTGATCCAAGGTGGAAAACAGAGCAACTTTTCCAACTACCCCAGCAGATGGAGATTTCTCATTTATGTGGAACTGGCAGACATGGCTGTGGCCTGGCTAGTACATGCTCTCTCTTATCAAATTTCAATCAGTGCATCCTATTTGAAAAGGGAGAAGCTTGTTTATTTGAGTAAACAGCTATTACAAAATAATCAGTCATGCCTGCTTGTTCGAGGTCTAAATTGCACTGGAATAACATAACACAGTGTACAAGGGTTTTATGTCACCCAGAGACAGATTAGAGAATTGTTACTTATTGAAGCATTCCTCTAGGCTTCACAGCCCTTCACAAGACTGACTGAGGCAATAACCTCTGTAAGATATTTGCATGGTTACATTTCTGTAGGTTATGCCATGGTTAGAAACAGTCACACAGTGTTGGGGACAGACAAGAACACTTCAAAGCTGAGTAGCAGGCACATGTCAACTACTGGCACTTTTATTATCTGCAAACTTTCTTTTTTTTTATGATTTTACCTCTCATGGTACTTCCGATGCTGCTTTTTTACATGGTTGTGACATCTTAAATGTCAGAGACTTTTTGCCAGTGCGCTTACGTGGCACCTGTACTCCTGGA